CCAGAGTTATATTCTTGTGTGTTCTGCTTCAGTGCAATTCCAGGTGTGAGGGGGGATCTGTTTTTTGAATTGTCTCCTAGTCCCATGTGTAGCATCTTGTGTCACAGGATGTGTGCTGTGAACAGGGGCAACACAAACTTTTCCTTTCACTTCTACTTGAAAGAAACAGTAGTGAAATGAGACAAATGGAGATCTTGCATTCATGTAAGGTCAAATCAGAAATCCTGTGGAGTTTCAAGGAACTCATTGACATCTCTCCTGTTATGGCTGGTTCCCAGAGGAATCCTGCTGGTCTTATTTGCCCTTCTGCTTGAGACATAAATCCACTCTTGGTGGGGATAGACAGACAGGACAAATAACCTCTTCTAGGGGGCTTCTCCCCCTCCATCAATTTTGGACCTGCAGCTTCCTGTCTCCCTTTTGGGCATGCCTGCATGCAGCAGAGCCATGCAAGGAAGGATGTGGACTGGAAGGAAGATGGGTTGCAGACAGAGCTGGCTCTGGAGAGTTAAGGAGCAGGAGGACTTATTTACATGAGATTCCCACCTTTTGGTTATCCCTCTGGCTTGGCTTGTGCCTTGGCCTGGTGCCATCTGACACAGTTTGCAGCCCTGGGATGTTGAGGGCTGGCTCAATTGGCTGCCTGGGCCCAGAGCCAGTTTGTATGGCTTGTTTGGCTTTGCACTGCTTTTCTAGTGGGGTGAGCTGCAATATGTGTCTCCTGTCATGAATCAGACAATAGGTATGGATAATTCTCAAACCAGGCATTCGCATGAGTTAATTCCACGCTGTTCGTGTTTAAAGTTGTTTTATTAAGGAATTATTCAGCTTATTGCTCAGCAAATTTTCAGCATCATTAGTAGGTTTAGCACGGGGCTGTGTCCCAGTATGGCCAAACAGTGTCTTAAAGCTTTAATTGCCAAATAAAAATTCTTTCCACTTCTCTTTTCTAAAATATACAACATTACTAAACCACCACTTTGATAAAATATTGTAGCACATATTAACTGTACTTTTTAGTTCTTTTGAAGTCAATGTTTAAGTGCTTTGCTGAATCAGGGCCTAAAATAATAATATCCACAAAGTTAAGCCACTTTATTTTTGACTGAGTGTTTGCACAGCAATTGAGTGCATGTCAGCTTCTTGTCATGACCCCCAGGTGCAGATCCTCCCTTAGTTTCAGTGAATTAGAAACTTTTTCAAATTGCTGTCTTGCACACAGTTGCAGTGTCAGGGTCAGACCCAAGAATGGCAGGCTCTCATTTGCAGAATGAGATCAAACTGAAATGGGATATAGGGCCATAAAGGGATTGGCAGCATCTCAAAGAGAGCACAGCTATGATTAGTCATTTCCTATATACATACTATATAAATACTGGGGATATACACACACCGTTTTTTTTTTTTTTTTCTGGGTTAGTGAAACCAGTACTGTGCTGCAGACCTGATCCTTGCTAGATCATTGAGGAGGTTGTGGAAACTTAATTCTCCTGTTAGAAGAGAGTTGTGCATGTATTATAAGTAACAGATCTGAAATGGGGGGAGAAAACAAGTCTGTAGCTGACTGATCTTAGTCTTTCACCTGTGCAATCCTCCTGCAGCTGGGGAGCTCCTATGTCGAGTCAATCCCTTTGACAGTGTTTGCAAGGCTACATTCTACTTTTGTGCTACTTACTTGGGTACCACAATCTCAGCAAAAACATGCAGGAGGGCAAAATTGAAGTTAACATCCCACTGAAAGTGGTGGAAGTGTCATCACCTTGGCAGAAAGATACCTTTGGGGTCAGAGGTGTTATCTTGTGCCACTTGCTTTGTTGTTGTGCTCTTACACCATCATGATGGAGTGTTACCAATAAGGGCCAGTGCTGTGCACTGTTAATTTAAAGACCTCAGTGGTGCTATGGGACTGCTTCAGAGCATGTGGTGACTGTTGCCCTGCCTGTCATCACTTTGCCCCACCTGGTAGTCCACACAATTCCCTATGCAAAAGTATTGAGTGCTGGGTCTCTGTAAAAAGAGCAAAGAACACAGTTTTTGCAGTGCACGTGTGCTTTACATTAAGAGCTGGCTCAGGCTTTTCCCCTTATTTCCATACCTCTGCAAGTCACTGCCTGGTGATGAGGAAGTGCTGCTCCCAAGCTCCTTGCCTCTCCCAGTGAGGTCAGCAGGAGCTGCAGGCACTTGCAGCAGTATTGGGTTAAAAAGATACTACAACTGACTAATTAAGTTTCACTCTTTGTTGTTGAGTGTTAAATTATGGAATTTCAAACAAATACGTATTTGTTGAAGCCACTGGAAGGATGGTCAGTAAATGTGCAGAGATGACATGAGGGAGAGCAATGGTCATCTTCAATGGGAAAGGGGAAAAGGGCAGAAAGTTATTTGAGGGAAAAAATCCATAATAACTTTGCAAGAGTGTTTTTTATCTAAAAAATGCAAAGGAAAATGTTACAGAAGTTGGGGCGATGGTTAATTTGAATTTACACCTACCAAAGGTTTGTACTGGTGTTGTGGCTGGCTTAGTCTGGAGCTCACCTCTGTGTTTTCACCTACTGAAAGTGATAAAATTTCACGAGGAACAAGTCTGATTTTTGTTTCCTCTCCTGTTGCTGCTGATGGCTGCTTGGAAAGCATGCAGTAAAGGCTCTCACACTGGCAGCTCATGTTTCCCTTGCTGGTCTCCAGGCAGAGACTCCAGGTGTGCCTGCTGAGGGCTCAGCTCTGCACTCACCCTGCTCAGTGCATGTGTGCTCCTGTGCCTCACAGGGCTGCTCCATTCCGGGGCCAGGAGCAGAGGGAGGAGAGTGTTCAACCAGTCAGAAAGGGGAAGTGCATTGCAAATAAGAAACTAAACATCAGCTGCATGTGAGTAATGGGTTGTCTGTCTCCTGCAGGGGGTGAGGGTACACTCTGATGCCTTTTGATGGCAGGGTAGCTGTGATGTTGTAATTAATGCAAAATCAGCTGTTCATCATCTCCTCTATAGATGAGTTCAGACTCTGTCCAGAGCCTAATTTGTGTTCTGAGGTATTGATGTGTAGAAATGAAAGCCCAGTGAGAAAAAAGTAAAATGTGGGAATGGCTCGTTTCACTGGAACCAATCTGGGCTACATATGTCACCTTTTGGTGAGGAACTGATTTGGGGTGTATTCATGGGGCTTGGGATAGAAATGTGCTTGTCTGAGGCTTCTGTGCTAGTCACCTGCCCAAGGCCAAAGCTTGGGTCACAGTTTTACTACTGAGCCTTGTTCCTACATACTCGTGTATGTGTGATATATTTTTAACAACTTCACTTGCTTCGCTTGGAATTTTAAACTGTAGCAGAGTGTGTATGTAATGCACAGAGCCTTTTCAATGATTCATGGATGCCAGCTTGCCTGCTCCCCCAGATCCTTGCCATATATGCAGATGTGGTGACTGAATGAAGTGCCACAGAGCCTTGCCATGAGTGCTGGGCTGGGATGTGATGCAGATGGCTGGTACAGACTCCCAGGTGACCTAATGGGGTCTGTAGAAGAGCTGAGCGTGATCAGCCATTTCACTTGCCCATGGATCAATTCCTAGAGTGCTTTTTTTATTACTTCTGTGTCTTTGAACACTCCCTCTGCAGTGATGCAGTGTAAAATATTACTTTCCTGTTAGCAGTTCCCCTCTTTCCCCAGTCACACTGCTGAAGTTGTGCCCACTTGCAGCATGTGATGGATTTACCTTAGGTCATGCACCAAAGGAACTTTCCAGGACAAAACCAAGTTATTATCCCTTAATATTTGGCTCTCATGGCTCTGGCTGGGCATCACTGGTGCATTCGTAGCAGAACTTAGTGTGAGGTTGCAAACTTAGCATGTGGTACTTTCATATCTAGGAACTATTTTATGTGATTTCATTTCAGCATCTTCTGGACCCTTGACAGCTTAAGTAGCTGCTTTGTAATATTTAACTACCTGTGAGTAGCCTGCTTGCAGTTTTTGGCAGCAGTGTAAAATATGCCTCATGTATGTGCTTTAGTGTGATGTTCTTGCTAGAGA